TTTTTCTTTTTATGTGCAAGTACATCTAGAAAAGATTTTCATAATTTCTTTGTGTCCAGCTTCTCTAATAAGGTTGGACAGATTCTCACAGTTTCTGTTGCTAATATGATTCCTGGCAAATAGAGCAGAAGGTTCAGGAGAACAAAAGAAGTGATCTAATTTTAGTAATGGTGCAGACTGAGTCTGTCATTTTTCTCTCTCTTTTATCCTCCTACCCTTTCTGAATGTCAGAACCTCTTCCAGCACTGCCTCTTTTCAGTTTGAATTGAATTCTTGTTCCTCGTCAAGGACTGGGCATGATGAGTTTTAAGATACTCCTCTGAACAGACACTGAATATTTGAGAGGTTGATCAGTGAAATCCTGACTTGTCACAGGTAATTTGCTGAGAACAAACCACTTCCAGTGAAGCTTTTTGCAGATTAGAAACCCTTATATCTGAAATTTCACTTAACATGTATGTCATATTTCTATTCTCCACTTCAAAACTTAAATTGGAGTTTGAGTCTATTACAACGTAAAGACGATAAAGGAATTTAATTTCTGTGCAAGTAGGTCTGCTCAGTTTGTGAGGTGCTCAGACCTCAATCCACTGAAGGTCTTTAAGCCTGTGTGTAATTCAAGTGTGAGAATTTCTACAGAGAAGCCTTAACAAAAAACATATTCTTTCAAAGGCAATGGAAATACTAACATGTTTTAAATTAAATATATGCTTACAAACTTTGCTAGGTTTGCATCTCGGTGGATTGTTCTAGTGAACAACAGTTATAGTTGTGTTAGTCAACCTTTATTCTTGTGCTTGTGTTTTGGATGTGAGAAATAAACAGGCTGTGTTTGCAATTTGGGGGATGGCAATTATAGACATCTGATGTGCAGAACTGGACAAGAAAGCAAAGACTAAAGAATAACATGGTTTGAAGTGAAAATTGCTTGAGCAGTAAGAAAATGCAGAGGACGTGCTTTGTTGGGTGTTTATCGTGTGCACTACAAAAACACCACCGTGGTTAGAAATAAATTATAGTTCAACATTTAGAGACATAGTATATTACAAAATGAAAAATAAAGCCAGCCTTAAAATTAATTTTGTTCCTGAACAAGTCCACTTAACTAACCATGGCAAACATGATTAAAAATGTGCAGTCATTTTTCGAAACAAATAATTCCTTAGTATCTATCTCCAGTTTGTTTCATTTCACGTCATCATTATAGAAGGGGGCAGACAAGCATTGCAATTGAATCTATGGAACCTACAGCCAATATGATGATTGATGTAACAGACCACACTATTAGACCTAAAATTGGACTTTGGAATACACTCCACGTACTTTAGAATAGTATTTTCATCTGTCTTTGCAGATGAAATAATTAGGTAGACCTCCTCCCCTAACTTACATGATGGATTTAAAAGCTAGGCTGAACGATTTTGAGATGTGAAGAGTTTTGCTTCTCAGCTCTGTGTCTTTAGGAATTATATTTAGATTGCTTTTTCTGAAATCATTAGGCTTGAAAAAAAAATAGAAGCTTAAATGTATTCCAGGAACTGCAGCTTTAAAAAGCCCTCTGCCAAACAAGTAAAGCTGGCAACAGAATCTCCCTTATTGTGACCAAACAGCTCATCGTTTAACCAGGAAATGGAAGGGAGGGACCGTTCTTTCTCCATTCCTGTTTTCCATCTGTGAAGAGGTTTGGATGGTTCCACCCTGACGGTGGTGGGAATGGCTGCACCACAGTGTGGATGTCCCCAGGACGCTGTCCCCCACGCCCATGGCACCACGTGGTGCTAACAAGAGCCAACTCTTCATCCTCTCCCTCTCCTGCCACAGCAAATATACATGTGACTGCCAGCCCACCCCTTCTAGAACTGTTCAGTCTTGCTTATCCCTCTTCCTGCTCTGGTGCCTGGCCATTGCTCCCACTCCACCGACAGTCACCGAATAGCACGATATTTCTGCTGAAATGAAGGGTCATGAAATGCTTCTCATCCAGGGGCTGGGTGGAAGACTAGAAATGAACAGGAGGGTCTGGGGGCTGCTGGCAGTTTTCCCCAGGGTACAAGAAGGCCAGCTCTGCCAGGTGTCTCTGTTGGGTGCTCTGGAACCATCTCCGTAGTTCTTTCCCGTGTCTGGCACTTGTTTGCCACGGGGTGATTTTCTGGCTGGGCTGAGGCATCTGTACCCCTTTTGGTGCAGGAGAACTGGTGGCACGGGCTCAATCCCCATTTCAGCCTCTCCCATTGCTATCCCATGCAGCTCTTATCAGGGAGCTGATACTGTGGCTCACAATGTTGATGTTCAGGAGACACATCAAGAAATCTGGCATACATCCCACGGCTACAGCTCGGATTCTGCAACAATAATGTTTATGTTGGCAGGCCATGGAACAGAAACTTGCGTTCTCTCCAGCTGACTGGTGTGATTCTAGCAATTAATTCAGCTTTTCCAGGCGCAAAAGTTTGTTTATACAGCTTGTGGCTCTTCCTATTTCAAAACACATCAATAACTTGGGAAAAAAAAACTGGCTAGGCAGTCACAGAATCACAGAAGTCTTGAGGCTGGAAGGGACCTTTGAAGGTTGTCTAGTCCAAGTACTGCTCAGAGCAGAGTCAACTACAGCAGGTTTCTCAGGGCTGTGTCCAGTCAGATTTTGAGTATCATCAAGGAGGGAGATTCCACAACCTCTCTGGGCAACCTTTTCCAGTGTTTGACTTCCCTCTCAGGATAAACTTCTCATATTTAAATGGAGTTTCCTCTATTGCAATGTGTGTCCATTGCATTTCCATTGTCCTCTCGCTGGGCACCACAGAGGAGAGTTTGTCTCTTCTTACTCCTTCACATCATGTGTTTATATACATCGATATGATTCTCTTGTCTTTCTCCAGACCAAGCAGTCCCAGCTCCTTCAGTCTCTCCTTATATAACAGATTCTCCAGTCCCTTAACCATCATCATGGCCCTTTGCTGGACTCATTCCAGTATGTCTATGTATCTTTTGTACTGGAAAGCTCAGGACTGGACCCAGCTCTGGAGATGTGACCCCCACTAGTGTTGGGGAGAGGAGAAGGATCACTTCCCTTGATCTGCTGTAGGTATTTTTCCTAATGCTGCCTTGGAGGCTGTTGTCCCTCTTTTCTACCAGGTCACATTGCTGGCTCGTGGGCAGCTTGTTCAACACCAGGATCCCCAGAGCCTTCCTTGCGAAGCTCCTTTTCAACTAGTTGGCCTCATCCTCTACTGGTACTTGGGGTTATTAATCTCTGTGTGCAGGACTTTGCAATTCTCTGAGTTGCCCTTGATGAGATTGCTGTTTGCCATTTGGAAATCTTTATAAAGAACTGCTTGGGACAGAGGTGGAGGGATAGAGGTTGAAGTATCTGAGGTCCCCACAAAATGCACACATCATTAGTTGTCTAGTTTTTTAACTTCATAACCCTCACATCTGTAAGACCATATCATCATCCAGAGCTCTGGAGGATGTCAGAAATCTGAAACGAGGACAAAAGCAATCCATACAAGTATTACCTGTGTAAATCTATACAGAAATGAGCAACTGCAGTTATTTAATTCTCTGTGTTGTAATTTGAGTCTTAAAATGTGGTATTTATAGCACTTCTGTTTCAATCACAGTAATTCTGCCCCAAAAGAAACATGTGTGAATGGAATCCTCGTGGTTATGAATGAACTACTTATTTTCTCTTTATTTATATGACTGAAATCCACGGTTTCCTCTGTATCCTGTTTTTTTTTCTGCATGGTTGTTCTTTCCAACAACAAAGCCTCACTGCCTCTGCCCTCAGCTCCCCAATGGTGAGAAGTAGTGTCCATGTGGTGTCCTGAGTACAGAGGATACAGCAAAATCCTGGCTGTGAAATGTCACCAACTGGAATCGCCATCAGATTGCCAAATGTCCTAAATATGTCCAATTTTTTTCTTTGTCTTTATCCTGTTGCATGTTATTTTGGGGATAGAAGGGACCTGGAGCCTAATGGAGCTGTCTGAGAACTCCTATTTTTTTCCTTTACTTTTGCCATTCTCACGGGACAGTCATTGATTCACGACAGGGATTTACACCCAACTGTGAAATTTGTTACTTTGAGCTTTACCTTGAATCCAAACTTTCCAGTCTATATTGGATGTCTCAGACAATGAACTAAGGACATTAAGAGAACAATCCTGGTTTCTTGGAAGTGAGTAAGGAAAATGCCCTTGTGTTGGAGGCAGCCTTTATTTTCAAATGTTTGGAGATAGGAGAATCCAGGCTTGTTCTTTCATCCACATGGAGAAATTTAAGCACATGCAAAACCTTCTAGCTACCTTTCTTTACCCAGACTCACAGAGTAACTAACACAGTTTACTTACTTTATTTAATTTACTTCCTTTGGTTTGAAATTTCTTTGTTTTCTTTCAGGTTTTATGCTGCAAATTTATCAATAGCACCAAAAATTAGATTTGTCAAGAGGGTGTGCAACTAGAATAACTTTATAAAGGGATGTAGCAAAGAAAAAGTAGAAATGCTGAAATTCATTTAGGGTATTTATGATATGCTCACTCCTAACTTCACTGTTGAAGCAAATCAGGGCAGAAAGTCTTCATGGCATGGTCGTATGACTCACTTTGGGTTCATGGAGATCTGGGCTGCAGATTTGAACCCCTCAGCTCCATTCCTTGTGTGTCTGGACACAGCCCAGCCTTGCCTGGGGCTGCCTTTCTGTCTTTATTCCCTGCAAGTTCCTGCACCTCCCCATCGGGACATTTTGATTTGGAGGATGGAAGAATGGCCTGGAGTTTAAGATGCTGGATTGAGGTGCGCCCAGGCTAAAAAAGTCAAAAATTCCTTTCTTTAAACATATGTGGTTTCATGTGACCTTCAGTGAATCTGCCAAAACTTCAGCTTTCCCCCTGCAAATTAGGTACTGTCCAGCTGAGTTGGTTGGATACCAGGTGGTAGGAAGGAAAACACAAAATTATTTATAAAAAAAACCCAAATCCTGCTTCACAGACAGAGCTCATCTCTTGTAAGTGGGTCAGAGTCGTTGCAGAAAGAGTTGCCGCAATCCCACGGTGTGTTTGAAAGGTCTTGTTAATGTTCAACACTTTTCCCCCTCTTAAAGCTTCCATTTTGAAGTCAGATGATTCTTAAGACTTTTTTTTTTTCCCCATTTGCAGTTAACACACTGACCCGGCGTCTTGGCAGCAGCACTGGGAAGCTGCGTTGGTGAATCCAGGTCCTCCGGTTTTCTTTCCTTCCTTCCTTCCTTCCTTCTGAAGGAAGCCCCCATGAACGGGTCCCTGGGATTAAGGGGGAAGCGGAGGTTTTAATGAAGCAGACTCCATTCTTCCGAGGGGTGAAGGGAGGTAAGGGAAGATCCTGTTGCTTATGTGATTATTGCTAATTACTGTAATTGAACGTCCTCATGACAGGAATATTTGGTGCCTGAGGTAAAGCTTGTTTGCTTCCATTCCTTTTTTCAACTGTCTCGTGGTGCCCTCTCGAGGTAGGAGAGCAGCCCCTTTCATTCCCTGTTTTACAGCAGCTGGAACACAAGCTGGAAGCACAGACCTCGGTGAAGAAGCTGAGAAATTGCTATTTGCTTTGAAAAAAAAATTAAATTTGCTAAAAATCCTTGCAAAATAAGTGGGATTTTTTTGATTCCCATTTAAAAAAGCACACCAATCTCTTTGTTTCCATCTTTTCAGTGAGATCAAGCACTCAAAAGGACGCAAAAAGCACAGGGGATGCTTCTTCACAGTGCCCTGAGGCCACAAAGGTGCATTTCCTTGGAGCATGAACAAGGTTAAAGGCTGTTTCCATGAAGGAAGGGAACACATTTCCCACAACATGCTTTTGTGCCCTTGAAGCAAAGCACAAAATGCATCAGGAAATGCTGACGTGTTTGGATATTAAAGTGGATTAGGAAACCTTGACACATGAGAAAGGCTGACCTTAGGGCTCGAGTCAAACAGAGGGTATTGTGCTTGTGAGGGAGGTCTGAATGCCTTGGATGTCATCACCACCTCACTGTGAAGGACTGCAAACTGCAAGATTCTCTGTAAAAGTGACTATTAGATGCTCAGTCTTGAAATACCTCTTGCCAGGTGACAGCAGATTATCCTTCCAAAAATGCCTCATCTTAAATCCAGCAAGGAGCAAGGACTGGCAATATGGTGGGCCCTCAAGAGGCAGTGAATTAATCAGTTTGGGTTTGGACTGGGATAGGGTTGATGCTCAGAGTCTGGGGCAAGGACATCCAGTTTTAGAGAAGAGCACGCTATGGGTACACGGTGATTTATTTAAAAATACAGATTTTAAAAAAAATCTCTGCTTCTCATAGATAACTTTTGAAGGGGATAAATGTAAGCAAATGCTGAACAACATGCCGATTCTGAAGGCACAAATCCCCTCCACAGAACTGCAAATTGAAGACTCAAGGCTCCTGTTTTGTTGAAAAGAGACTTTTGAGCCCAACAAGGGGTAAGATGTTAATAAAACCTTTGTTCACTGTTACAAAAGGGAACAGCTAAGTGTGGGTTGGGGTTTCTGCCAAGTTAACCCTGACTTCTTCCCATTGCCACCAATACTGCTAAGAAACACCTTAACATGTTATTTAAGACAAAGAACAAAAACCAGTTAATACTTTTCATTTTGAATACTGTATTTAAAGCAAAAGCTTTCATTTTAAACACATATATTCGCTTTCCTTGTTGCTAGACTAGGGGCTTTAAAGAAAATTCACATTTTATGTGGCATTAACTTTCTTTTTGTGGGGAAAAAACAAAGTTAGCTTAAGTGATCTGAAACTGGCACTGTCTTTAATACTAATGGAGTTTTATTTTCTTTAAGGTGAAAGTGCAGGTGTTGAGTCTCCCCAAACACGTGCTAACCAGGCTTATTTTATTATTTCCTTCCCTGTGGTCTGCTGGGCTTTGCCCATCTGTAGTTGTTGTCAGCTCCTTCAGAGCCATGATCAGACAGAATTGCTATGGTAGTTGGAATAATAATAACAAAAAGCCATGGAAAAATAAGGCGACATTGAATCACTATTTCCACTTTTTAATTCTCCAGCAAAGAAGGACAAAAAGGAGATGGCTTCTGTCTGCAATGTTGCCTTTCATTTGCAACTGTGCTGTTATGGAATCAGAGGCTACTTAATACATGGTTTTGGAAACCCTTTGGATTAGTATGAGGTGGTAGGAGTTGCTGGATAAGATGCATCTCCATGAGATGCTGACAGTGGTGTGATGACATTGTAGTATTATCTGAGAGCAAGGGAAGAAGTGAAGGAGGGAGGTGGCAGGTGTGCCTGGGTACTCTCTGGTCAGGATTTGAGCATCAGGGTCACAGAGGTCCTGTGGTGTCATGTTTAAAAGCAGGCTGGCAGAATATGTTGGGGTGACAGCCACATTTCCTCCTGCCCTCATACCCTCCTCTGCTCTCCTTTGTGCCACCCCCTCATCTAAGGAAAGGTGGCATCTTTATTCTGGTAGAATTAACTAATCAAAGTATGCTGTTGGTGATTTCAATTATAAATGTTTCCTCCCATTCTTAAAATGTTTTCACTTGTTTTCTTGGCAGGACCTTTAGGAGCTCTCCTGAGAGTCCCTTTCACATAGATATGCACAGAATGAATAGTTTATCTCCAGCTCCTGCTGACTTTCATGAATAATTTGATGTAAAAAGCTAAGTTGCATTTCTGCTGTGTTGGTTAACTTGGAAGTACCAGCTTCTAATATTCCAGCCACAGACTGAAACAGACTTTCCAGTTTTAGAGGCCAAAGTGGCCTCTCTGGCTTCCACTCATTGTGAATACCTTACCTTTTTTCCTCCTTTAACTACCTGGCTGCTTCAGGCTCCCCAAAACATGAAAGAGGCTCTAGAGCTTCCAGCTGACAGAACATCTCTTGTGAATGAAAGCTCTTTACTTAAACACAGAAGATTTGGTGGGACATACAACTGTGATTTTTACTGTTTCTCGTTTTCATTCCCAGGTGTACGCCAGAAAATCCTGTGGTCAGCCCTGAAGGTAAGCAGCTCATTTTACAGAGTGTATTCATCTGCCCACTCTCATTGAAGGCAAACAGAATTGCTTATCTGAGTAATGTCACATGTGTGCCTAAATGATTGCAAGAGACTGAAAGGAGCTGGGAGTAGAAATAATAGCACTACTTCATCTCTCACAGAGCAGAGCCAACAAAATAATGAAGCCGTGTGAATAAAGAACCAACATAATAATCAAGGTCTAACCATTTTGGGAAAATTAGCACTTCTTCCATAACAGTAACAGGCTGCTGGGAAAATGGTACAAAGTATTAACTGTCAGGTTAAGCACACCTTAATCAACATGTGCCGAGTCCCACTGATGTGTCCTCAAACCTGTTACTTAAGTACTTGTTAAGGCCAATTAAATAAACAAAATTTTAAAGCCTAATAGCATAAACCACACAAATAACATAAAAGAGGCATAATGGTTGAATGGGTGGGCGTTTAGCCCTTCTTGATTTAAAACAGTGAAGTGAAAAATGTTGGAGCCCTTGAAGGTGATTTTGAAGATGAGGAAGTGACTGTGCTACACAAACAGCAATCAGAGACAATTAAGAGAACTGGGACAAGTGCCTCATTCTCCCAGCAGACTGCATGGGAAATTGCACTTTACATTTCAGTCTCATTGCATTTTCAAATAAGGCCCCCAGCTATGTCATTTTTTCAAGTCCAACTCAAATCAAAAGATATTGCTTAAAATCTTCCTATTACTCCAGAAGTGAAAGGAATGATTGTCTATGCTGATGAGCCTGGAAGATTGTCTTGGAAAGAATTTGACAGTTTTGTCTCCGGGTCCCATTATAACGTTATTACTGCCCCTGAAGGAGACTGACAGAGCCTGAATGCCAGCGTGAGGATGAGGGTGGTTGAGGATGGCTCTGTGCCGCTGCAGGTTTTGTGTTGTTTCTCTACAGAAAGAGCAGAGAAACTGTGAGCTACGCTGTGCATGTGTTTTCTCTTAAAGCTTAATCTGATGAAGAATCTCAGCGAGACCCTGTGCTAACAAAAGAGCAGAGCATACAAGCAAGCTAAAAATAAAAACAAAGACATAAAAATGGAAAGAATGAAAATAGGGAAATTTGGAAATAGTTATCCAGGTCTAATTATAACCCTGTCCCTCTGCAGAAAGCACAGCTCACCAGTGATACTTTTTAAAGAACTTTCTGTTAGGCTCGAGAAGGTTTCAGTACATGACTCAGAAATTTCCTGAAGTGCTGAAGTGGTCTCACTTTTGTAGCCTTCTTCCCACAGACAGGAGTACAGTGAGCTTGTAGAGCTCTTGTAGCTGGTTTGGTTTGCCAGAGTAAGTAATGGTGCCTGGGAATGAGCCCTGCCCTTATCTCTGGCTCCTGCCAGGATAGAGAACACTGGCCCTGCTGCTGCTGTTCCCCGGTACAGGTTGGAGTGCAGAGGGACAGAGGGGGACCCAGCACTCCATCTGACTGCCCGTGTAGTGCCCAACAAACCTTCCCTGAACCAGCCCTGACTCCTCTGCTCAGTGTCATGAAAGCTGTAAGATGGGGGAGCTGTGGTACATCCACAGAATTGATGCAAGCCTTCCCTGACAGCAATTTTCCCATGGAATTGTCTTATCTTACTGTTTTCTTTCCATGGGGCACTTTTTCCTTTTAAAGATTTTTATTTTAATGAAAAAGGCTCTAAATGTAAATGTTCAATTATAATGCTAATTGATAGAAAGTTAGTGTAAGATCTCTCCACTCAGATACAATTAACTCTGCATAAACCAGGTCGTCATAGCAAACAAGGACCTAAATCAATTATTTTCAGATTAAAGATTTAAACTTCTATGTTTCACTGTATAACAATTGTCTGAGAGATAAATTACGGTTACAGTGACAATCTGGTACATGCTCTCCTTAACCCAAGTCATAAACTGCTCAGACCTCAGACAAAAAAAGCAGTGCCTTGTTGCTTTGTGAGGGTTGCAGAGCAAATATGCCCACTGAAATTAAGAGGAATTTGTAAAGAAAACAAGCTGCTTCTGAGCCAGGGATTTTAGAAGTTATTTATAAATTGTGATGGTCCCAACAAGAAGCCTTTTGCAACTCCAACAAGATCATTCACATATTGAACTATACAGAAGAAAGAAAAATACTGCAAAACCACACTCACTGCACTCAGAACCTTAACCCGGTTCCCAGAACCACAATGGATAATGTCTCTATTAGAAATTAATTTATTTTGCTGGGACTTCCTTGGAGCGTGGTACTACTCAACTAATGACTGCAAATTTGGGTCCTAACCTGCTTGATTTAAAACAGCTTTAGCAAAATTACCCTTAGGGGCAAATTCTTGTCGCAATAAGACCGATGGGAGTTTTGTGACTGAGTTTTGATATTATATAATAATTGAATTTTCTTACGTGTCTGTGTACCTCAAATATGTAACTCCTAAGTGTAAGAAACACATTTATATATGTAAAAATAATGTATATAAAAATGCAGGGTCTATTATTTTATATTCACTAGTAGCTCTATGGCTCTGCATCCACATCTCTCTGCCGTTTTCTGAAACAGAGCAGAAAGGCCAACGGGAGCGAAATACCAACCTGAGATAGCAGTCTAGCAAGGAAGGCAGTGCTGTCACTGCAGAGGGACTTTGAGCACAAGAAGTGACACTTGCAGTTACTGAGGCTGTCAGTCCAAATCCGTGTTGCTTTGGTACCCTGGATAAAGATCGGGCCAACTTAAGAGCTGGCGACACGCCACGCAGACAGATGGACAGATGGGTGAGCAACACAGAGACCGTGCTGGAGCATCAAGTGTGGGTTCTGAAGGCAGCATTCCTAGCTGGGAGACTCCAAACAGCTGGCCAGCCTGAATTTTTTTAAAAACAGTTTATTGTTTTAGGAAATGCCGCAGTTTGTTTGGTTCTGGTAACGTACTGAAAAAACCAGTGATGGGAAGGGGGTATTGTTATTTATTCTTGGTAAATGTGGCTTGAGCTGCACAAAAGAAAGGAAGTGAGGAAGGGGCATTCCCTCTGAGCTCTGGAGAGAGTGAGGATGAGAAATGATAATAGAATTTCCCTGTGTTTTTCTGTGTCAGGGCAAAACAGATCTCTGCTGAGCAGAGCAGCAGAGGGAGTGTCAAAGCTGCATGTTGGAGATGGGGAAGAAAAATCTCACCTTGGATTCAGGAGCTGGAATTCATCCTAAACTCACACTTCAGCCTTCTTCTCCCAGGAGGATCAGCATCGGGGTAGAGGCGCTATGGGACAACTCCTTTCCTGGGACAAGGGTAGACACAGGAGAACCTGAACTTTTATTACAAGCTGGAAAACTGAAACCCAAAGGTGGAAATCTGATACCAGTGCATTTCTTTTTTTTTTTTTTTAAATAAAATAGTTTAAAAGAGCTTATCTGAATTTAAATATCTAGATTTAAGCAGTTTATTTCCTTGCACAACAAACTAAACAGATGATTCAAGTGCATGAAAAAATTCAGCTGCTCTGTTGGAATTTGAATGGTTTGTCCTCACATGCATCAGCATCCCTTTGACTTATAATATTTCTTGCCTTCTGTTTGCAAAATGAGTAGAGTTTTCCCAGGCAGATACTTTGTCTGGACTGCACCATGTTCGGTCTTTGAATAATCAGTTCAAACTGCAAGTCAAACACCTCTTCTACTCCATTCTCTGTAATTGATTCATTCTTTCTTTCAAATTCCTTGGCTGCCTCATGTCTTTTTGCCAGTGCATATTGAGCAATCAGGTCATTCCAGGTTGCTTTTGTTTGTGTTACTCCTATGAATTCAGTTTATATTTAACCCTGGGAATAAAAGCCAACACCAAAAAAAGAAGGGAGGATGCATCCAGTGCAGTCAATATCATGTCCAGTCACAGAGTTAGGAGGGGACAGGATGATTGAAGGGAATGATAAAGGGCACAAGCTTCTAGTTTTTGGAATTGGTTTAGGTTTGATAAATCAGAAAACTGTTACCAAGTAAGAGCACTGAAGGGACAATGTTTCTAGTGCCATCTCAGGTCAAGACTTCAGGATATTCTTCCGTATTCCCTGGGCCCTACAGTTCCCACATAAAGGCAAGATGAGGGTCATGTTGTATTCAGCATGTTTGGATCGTCAGAGGCCCAAGGCCACAGCACCCAGTATAGACATTATCTAACTGTTGGCCCTATCTTGGCTTACAAAGATCAAGCACAGAACATTGTTCACCACCAGCAGAGAGGACAAAGCCACCACCATGACCCCAGCCCTAAGTCAGCGATGGTACAAAGGGGTGAATTGAGATTTAAGTCTGCCTTGGCTTTTTTAAGGTCACTGATTCCCTTTAAAGAAACAAAACAACACAGAGACTTGTGTGTGCACAAACACACACACACACACACACAATAATTAAAAGAATTAACATGGGAATTAGTTTGTGTTGCAAACCAAGGCTGTTGTTAGGTGGAAATTTGCCATATGCTCTCCAACACTAGACACAAAGAAGGACCATTTTACCACTTAAACCTCCGTTTTGCTGTAGGATTGGAAAGCCCAGTGCTGTCGATTGGCTCCTTTAATTTAAAGCAAATTAATTGTGGGAGCTGGATATCAAGATTACTCAGAAGTTCTTGGAAGCTCTTTCTTTCGGGCTGCTGAGCTTTTATTTTGAGGAGAAAGTAACACAAATAATAAAATACAGAGATGCATGGGCTTAGTGTAAAGAAGACTTGGAGGTTTATATGTCTTCCTTCTTTTTTTTTTTTAAACAGTCCAATTATGTACCACGTAGCAGCAACTGGGCTAACACCAGCCATATGATGGAATAGCTTGTAATCCGGTTGTGTCTAACTCCATGAGACAGACTCCAAGTAGATGAGTTTTAAATCTCCTTAGAATTAAGAAGGGTTTGGCAACCAAATTAATTGTTTTGGAAAAATCCCGCTTTATGGATCATGAAGAGGATAAAAAGGGAAAAAACATGTCATCTGTGGTGGTTAGTCAGATGTTCTTTTGGAGTTACAACGATTTCCTCTCTAATTCCTCTCCTTGTTGACATTCCCGTTAAAAGAATAATGAGTACGATGTTCGTTGCCTTAGCGCTGCTCATCCCTGTGTACATTACGAAATCTTTGCATTAAGCCACCCAAATGGATTGAATCCTACCGTGAGGCAGACACTGAAAACAACTGCACTCAGCTGTGAGATGCATAAAAGCCACGTATAACCCGATACGCTGCGCTACAAGGGGCGATAATCGCTGGGACCCTGTACGGGAGTTTGTTTGAAAGCAGTGGTGGGGCCCAGACAGAGTGCATCACTCTGGTTTAGCAGGACTGAATTATTTCAGTCTCTGGATTTTTAATATTTATGTAGTTACCCTTTTACCGGTGCGGTTGTGATGCTTTGGAAAAAATATGTTCTATGTATTATTAATGGCATGTTTAAATAATGAGAGACAATTAAATGATCGCTGGGTGATAGTTTCCCAGGTGTATTTCTGTTTTATATGTTTTGTAGATCTGTACTGTATTCTCACAGAGGCTACGTTACTTAATTACCCCGTGCTTTTACAGAATTTTGGTAAAAATAAGTGTGCAAAAAAAGATATTATTATTTTACAGGTGGCATAAAAGCAGCTTCATTAGGGAGCCTGGTACTAATAGTCCTTTAATACAGAAAGCCAGAAGATGGTTCTTCACATGGTACATTAAACAGTGAAATATGCCAATTTTGACTTGATTTCTAATGTTGCTAAACTACCCCACATTCATTTGCTTCAGCTTTAAGCCCTTTCATTCTCATATTCTCCAGCCCTGCTAACAGAATTGCAGCTTGCTTTTCACCTATCTCCTAACAGTTTAACATGGATGTCTGGGTCCAGCCCATTGTTCCAATTGTATATAGTTTAAAAAGCTCTGCAGTATTTTACTCTTTCCATTATATCTTGGCTTCCCTGAGCGCTCTGCTTGCTGCATTTTGCTTGTACTGGCTCTGTTTTCTAAACCCATTTATGGCTTTTTCTTCTGTACACACTTGTTCATTGGGGAGCTTAAATTGACTTCTCTCCATTCTGTTTCCTTAACTAAAAACGCACCATTAAGGTTGATTGAAGTCTTTTGAAAACACTTCATAAAAAATGAAAGGCCATAAGAAATTAGGCTACCAGTGTTTGCAAATACCTGTTTTCAGCCAAATTGATGGGAGGGAATAAGAACTGAAATTTAAAAATGCTACTGATATGTATTTTGTTGCGAGTTGTTTTTATAAGAATAGAAAAAGCGTGTGTAAAACATTTTGAGGAATAAAATATTGAGACGTTAACAAGATGTGCTGTGCAGTGGCTTGTTGTTGCAGAAAGCCTTTTCTCCAAAAAACCATCAGGCACAGTTCTGAAGAGAGAAAATTGCAGAATGAACAGAAGTATCTGGATCAGTTATTTTTCATGATTTTCTGTTGTAAAAAATATTTTTTACTCTCAAATATTTCTCTTCAAAGAATACTGTAAAGTCTTTCTTTAAGAGTAACATTTGAACCATGGAATAGCATATTCATCAGGAATAGGAGGAGTTCGTAATAAATTGCTCTACAAATTGGAAAAAAAAAAGCTTAATTAAGTCGGTGAAACTTTGAGTGCCTTTCAGAACAAAAACATCTGTGCAGTGGTCAAGGATATAAAGTATGTTTTGCATTATGTACACATATCCTTAATGAACAAAGCAGCCTCATTTCACGAATCCCCCACCAGGAATCAGGGAAGTCATTCTGAACACTGGGCTGAATTGTCAGGGAAACTTTTATGGACATATGGAAATGCATCTGCTTTAAAAAGAGAAATATCAAGAGGGATTTGCACAAAGTTAAAAGCAAAGCAAGTGCTTTAGAATCAAAAGTGATTACACTGAAAATGGCAGCTTGCCTGTCAGAGCAGCTGAGGCGGCTCCTCACCAAACAAAATACTAATAGTTCCAGCTGTTTCCAGGCCCTCCTAATACTGCTGCTTGTCATTAAAAAGTACAGACTTTATAGAAGTGTGGAAAGCTCCAAAAGAAAAATTATTTGATTTTAGTTTATTTCTAGATATCTTTTTCAGACAGCTGCCAAACATGTTTTATTTACAAGATGTATTACTTCTATGGCTTTTTCTCTTCTCAGAAATTTAGATATTCATTCTGACAGTCATCTCACTAAGTGGAGACATCTAAAATGCAGAAGACTTTCAGTAAAAGACTTACGTTGCAGAATAGGAGCAAAAAAATCTGCATAGGGTGAGTTTTACAGTTTTAAAGGACTGTTTAAAAAAACCCCAAATCTTAATATTGAAAAGCCACACCTACTGAGCCCTGAAATCAAACTCAGATTTGAATTCAGAATTAAAAAAAAAAGTTGTAAATAACAACTGTTCCCAGGCTTTGCCTTTAATAATATGATGAATTTAAGATTTTTGTTCCTTTTTGTTTTATAAAAGCAATGGAATAAATGCTCCAGACCTCGGCTGCAGCAGCGTTTGGTGGTGTACGTGAGCACAGACTGTAGCAGACTGTAGCAGACTGTATCACTTGCTTTAAGAATTCTCCTGTTAATGGAGGGAAAGAGCAGTGAGATCAACAAGCAAAGTAGCTGAGTACAAGGAGGTCATGCAGCAGCGCTGAGTTCTGTGGCAGAGCTACAAGGAAACCCTGTCAGCTTCCATCCCATTAAACGAGCCATGAGCTATGTGTTGGACTCACTGGGATTACCACCAAACCCCTACCAAGCTGTCTGCTGGCTCTTGCTCACATCCTCTATCAATTATTCAGTTCCTTTTATGCAAATAATGTTTCATGGAAGCAATGGAGATCCATAATGGGAAGAAGAGTAACATCCATTTAGGAGAATTAAATGGTAGATGAAAAGCGTGACACTTTGCAGGCAGAAGCTATTGAAGTGGTGCAGTACCAGGACTCTCTAAATGTCTGTGTGCATGCACAGATGGGGAGAGTCAAAGTTTTGTTTGCTTTTTTTTGACAATCAACTTTATACAGAATTAAAGAAGGTGGCAATAGACACAGACTCCAGCATTTCCAGTTCTGCCCAGGGGACAGTTGAGAAGCAAGGCCCCTGTAGCAGATCTGTCTGTGCTCTGCAGGCTCTAAGCTCTCATTTTGTATCTTACAGGGAGTGTATGCAGCAAGCCTGGATGCCAATGTGTTTGTACTAAAGAGAGACTTTGCTGCTCTTTGGAGTCAGGAGTCACAGAAAAACTGAGGGCCACTCCTGCATTCTTTTATCAAAGCATTCTGTTGGTTTCAATGCATATATGGGATCAAAACTGTGCTGTAGCCCCAGTACAGTTCATGGGCCCAAACTCTACTGCTGTGTGC